CTGCAGTGAGAAAGCTTTCCGTTGGCTGTGCGTGGAGCGGCAAGAGGAACCCGAGCAATATGAAAACGGTACTTTTATGTCTTCTTCTTAGTCAAAGTACAGGCTGGGCGCCCCGGGGCTTTCAACAAAGCTCCTGCTTTGTTCGGGAGGCTCACCGCTTAGCTGAATGGGGGAGTGTGTGCCGATTTCTCGTCTGTTAGTAAAAAACGAGCTTTTGGCAATGATGGAATTGCAAAAATGCACCCTGTAGTTAAGTCAGCATCGCAGTTTTAGCAGTTCCTTCCCTGTAACCTGTTTTTTGTGAGTTATCTCTTGTGGTTCTTGAACGTTTTAGCAGGACTTTGTTGTTTGAGGTGGGCCTGACAGTTACTGTTGTTTGGCAATCCCGGCTGTGAGGCGGTTGTATTTGTGAAACCGTGCGGGTTTCTTTATCTTAATTTTTTCTCTTTTTTGTTGGTAACAAGTAAAAAGTAGGATGCACTTAAATCCTGATATTTATATATTTTTTTTCTGGATTGCAAATACCTTTTAACTAGCTTTTTCCAGGTTTGTGACTTTGCTTCCTGGAGTGCTGTTTGTTGATTGCTTTTGAGCTGCTCAGTAACAGTTGTACTCCTGTTTGTCGTTTGAGCTTTCTGCCACAAGGAGACAAGGCAGTCAGCATGCCTTGTAGTTGTTCTGAATTCCTTTAGAGTTCATGGTGTTGTACATCCATATGAAGTACTCACTGAGGTACACTTCCCTGTTGATGAAGGTGCGACTGAATTCTCTGTAGTATTCCTATAAAAATCTGTGGCAAATTCTCAAGCCTCAAGCCTGTCTGTTTTTTGCCCAAGTATCCCAAAGCAGAGCTGAAAAGGGGTTAAGAAAGACGATTTTATTTCCTGGAATCCTAGAGTTTGCATTTAAACAGCAGAAAAACCACTTTGTGTTTACATAGTGTTTTTGTTGCTTTGAAGGATATCGAAGTAAACACCTCCTAAAGTTCCCACTTCGGGATTTTTTCTAGTGTAAGGATGTGTAGTGCTCACATTATTATACAACTTGATGATTGTTTTGTTACTGGCAAGTGCTGCACTAGAATAACTGCACTCAGTTTGAACTTTCTCCTAGTTCATCTATTCTCTCTTGACTTATTCTCAGAGGTCTAATCTTGCCTTTGCAGTTGTATGTACAGATTCAGGAGTGATAGTGTTACAGAAATTCCAAGCTGATTTACTTCTCTTATTGTTTTGGCTACAGGGAAGTGTGCTCTTAAGACTTTTTGGAGCCTTAAAAAAGAGGTTTGGTGCTTTTGGTGGTGTGTATGTAATGTACAGCTCCTTCTTTCAGAGTGTTTGTGAGGTTTGTGCTGTTTTCCCAGCTGAAATTTGCTGTTTTTAGCCTCTGTTCTCCTTTGGATTTTTGTGTATACAACTTAAGCAGTCCTGTGAAGTGAGTCCTGCAGTCATTGAGGCGACATTGAACTGGTGATTCTTTTTTCCAGTCACATCACATTTACGTGTTTGCTCTACATTCCAGTACCCCACAAAGCATCACTTTCCTTTCTTAACTGATCTTTAGACTCTAAGAGGGGGAAAAAAACAAACAAACCCCTTAAAGCAGTTTCATTGGAAATATTTTATAACACTTATGTAAGCCAAAGGATTGGGAAGTTGCAGAGAGCCTAAAACTATTGAAAACATGATCCAGTTCCAGTTCTTGTAAGTGTGACAGTTATAGCAGATCAGGAACAAATCAACACTTAGTTTTCAAATCAGATTCATTCCTTTCTGCCTGCATGTGTTTGTTTTTAACTTCCTGATGCTTACAGTGATTTATAAACTGTTACTTTTAAAAATACAGCCACACACGGAGTGGGGAGGAACACATTTGTATGTAACAATATCAGCTTAGTGATAACAGTACAAAAAGTGTATTATTGTTCCATGTTATATTTGATATTTAAATTTGAAAACTATGGGGGAGGAATTTTTTGATGTTTTGGATAGGGAGGAGCATCTTGAATTTTAGAGTTTGTCAGAAATCTGGGTGTTGTGAACTTTTCTGTGTAAAAGCTATGAAACTTTTCAGCTCTAAGTTCTCTTTAAGATGGCTCATTTAGGAAGCTAACTTGCTAGGTTATGTTCTTGTTATTACTAAAGCTGTATCTATTCATTATCATCTTCAGATGACTGGATCAAACGAATTCAAACTAAATCAAACTCCAGATGATGGTATTTCGTCAGTGAAGTTTAGTCCAAACACCTCACAGTTCCTGCTTGTTTCATCCTGGGACACAACTGTCCGGCTCTATGATGTTCCTGCCAATACCATGAGACTCAAATATCAGCATTCAGGAGCTGTTCTTGACTGTGCTTTTTATGTAAGTGTGTGGGGTGGATTTTATTTACTTTTATTTCATAGACCTGTAGTGGCCAAGGTACCTGAGAAATTGTCAATGCCTGCAATAAAGGGATAGTGAAATACTACTTAAAATCTGGTTTTGTTTCTTTATTTAAAGAAACCTTGTGCCAATTATTCTTCTTTTTAATGGATTTTGTTCTAGTCCTAAATATAGATATTTCCTGTGGAGGGTGCAGGTACACAAGTAATTTACTTCTGGTAGAAGTTGTATGCAAAAGTACTTTGAGCTGCTTTGTGCTGTTTCTGCAGTGCTGTGGTAGATTGTGTGCATGCTTCTTACAAGGAGTCATACTGGTGGTGTATAGCCAGAAATCATTATTCACCATAAATGCCCATAGCCTATTAGTCTTTTCTTTTTAACCTTCTTATACTGGTTGTTTTGGGAACATCGTGTTCCCAAATACCACATACTTGATTGCTGTATTTTTAATGCCCTGGATTTGAAATATGCTTCAGGATGCTTTAATTTTATTAGTGCCAGTTTTTGTTTTGCCTTTTTGGTGTCACGTATGAACTTAGAAGGTTTCAAGTTTTTTCATTGTATTCTGACATGTCCTGCAGTAACTTGCTGTGTTACTACATGTTTTAAGGGTCAATTTAAATGTCCAGGTCTTGTGGACATTTTGTCACATAGTATTGTGCTGTGGATCAACACACAGGTTCTCAAATGGTATCTGGCTTTTAGATTAGTTTTAGAAGGATTATGCTTCAGTCAGATGGAACTAGTTTAGGCTGGCAGTCATATAGAAAGAAGTATTATGTGCTTTGCTGTTACAGAAATGGAAATGATTTGGTGTAGCCTCTAGTTGCTTTTTCTGTTTATATTATTTTAAATAATAAAACCCTATAGCTCAAAGTGCTTTTCTTAAACATTTTGCAAAGCTTCTGTCATCTACCTGTTTAGATCTGGGCCAGATTTTAACGTTGTGTCTGAATTCCCATCTTCTCCAAACTCCTGAAAGCAAGTCCTTTGTTATGAGCCTAGAAGATTAAATGTGTCACAGCCAGGGAAACTTAATGCATGTCAAAAGGTGAGCTTTTTTTGTGCTTTGTAGGATCCTACCCATGCTTGGAGTGGAGGATTAGATCAGCAACTAAAAATGCACGATTTAAACACGGACCAAGGTAAGCAGATTGAATTCTCTAAGTGGTCTTAATAACTGGCCTCAGCTTCCAATTTGTTTACTTACACAAGCAGAATGTTTCAATTTTTTAGATGAGGGATTTTTATTTTAAGTAGTAGATGTTTAGATCTGGATTTAAGTTGTTAGTGTCATTGCTCAGCAGCCTACTTTGCTGTGCAGCCCTTTCGGATTGCTGAGGCACAGAACAAGGCAGTAACTGAAGACTCTTCTATAAGACCTTTAACAAAAGGGCTGAATCTGTTCGTGCCCAACTGAGAGTTTAAACTTTTACTGTGATGAACATTCATTGATGTATTTTCCATGTGTATTTCCTTATTTACTTATTTGAAGGTGAAAATGGAAGGGAATAGCTATCTACTCCTGATGCTGACTGAGGTTCACATCACATGTGCCTTTATCTAGCAGAGTAGCTGGTGGCTGTAATAAGTACCACCTAAAAGCATGAAAGCATTTGGCAGTTTGCCCAAAAGTTTGGTGGATGCCTTGAATTGGATTTCTGATGACCATCCTGCTCTGCCTTAGGCTACTGTGTCTCAATTAGTGGGAATTAGCTAAGCTTAAGTAAAACTGAGCATGTTATTTTTCAGAGGTTTGTGATTTGGATGTATTTAAGAATGATCTTTTACGGGTTTGGCAGGATATATATATATATATATATATAAGACTTTTGCTTTGTCAAGCATCATGGCCTTACACTACACTTTTTTGCCTAACAAAACATTGCTCAAAAGTAAAAGTTCCAGTGCCTCACTGGTGCAAAATATAGAGCTGGTTTATTTTGTGTGTTTCTATGCATGTTAAAGAGAAAAATGAATCTCAGCCTGGGACAGAAGTGGTCACTAGAATCAGCCAATAGCCAGGGCTTAACAAGCTTGTGCACACAGTAATGTTATGAAAAGGTCAAATAATCCTGCTATAGGTGACTTCATGGAAGTGTTAATATGTAATATTGATTCATTTTGTCATTAATGGTAATACATCCAGGCTTAAGTTGCTTTCTGTGTTAGTGTCTGTGTCGAAGGTGGTGATAGAATTTGATACTGAACACTTCTTTATACTTCTGAAGATCTCTTTGTAGCTGCCTAAAATTCTTAACTTCCTTTCATAATCTCAGGAGACAAGTTTCAATTTAATAATCCTGATCTTTGCAGAAGTTATGCTTCTGAAGACTGAACTATCCTCAAAGGGACTCCTGGCATATCCATACACCCATGGGAATGTCAGAAAATAGTTTGTTCGCACTGCTGTAGTGTGTCTTTCTTTTATTCAACACATTCTTACTGTTTGTAGAGCCAGTAAAGTTAAAATATATTGCATTTTCTTACAGAGAACCTTGTTGGTGCCCATGATGCTCCTATCAGATGTGTTGAGTATTGCCCAGAAGTGAATGTCATGGTGACAGGAAGCTGGGATCAAACAGTTAAACTGTGGGATCCCAGAACTCCTTGTAATGCAGGAACCTTCTCTCAACCTGAAAAGGTATGTACTGGATACTGTATTAAATAATACATCCAGTGACTGGTTCAACATCACTGTATAGGGCACTGTCAGAAATTGAATTGAAATTGAAAGATAGGTTTAATGCTTTTTAAGCTGTGAAAACATTGCATTTTAAAATATTGATAGTCAGAATATATTTGTGATTTTTAGGTTGAGTCTTTGAGCTTTCATCAATAGCAGAACATAATTGCTAGTGCTCGTGGTAGACCAAATTCTTGTGGTTTAAAACAAACTAGAGGAAGAAAAACTGAACAAAACCAGCATGTGACATTGATGTTAATACTTCTCGGCTTAATTGCAATATGCACCATTGATTTCCTTAAATCTTGAGACTTTGATATATCAGATCCTGGCACTTACGAGGTCTGATTGCTTTGACTTGTGTAGAGATTCAGTAGGCGGCTTTTTATGTTGCCTGAAATAATATTTTGAGTGTTTTTTTTTTTTTTCCACTTGTATTAAAAAAACTAAACAAAATTACTTTTATTGTAATTTACCTGTCATTGTACTAATGTCTACAAATTCAGGCATCCTTCTGATACTTAAATTCTCTGTGCTAATGGGAGATCAAGCGAAATAAGGTAAAATGTAGTGCCTTAAGCTTTTTCTGGTGGTTATAGGGCGTGTTAATCTTTATGCTGCTTACAGTTGTGTCACTGAAAGAATTACAGAACAGTAATTTCTCTTCTTTTCATAGACTCCTAAACACAGGCTGGGCTGCTGGATGATTTTACATGGGATTTTGTGCCTGTACCTTTTATAAATCTCATTTAGCTCTGTCACATCATATTGTCAAGTCATAATTATGAGCCATCATTACGTTGCCTATTGCATCTAAATAGCTCTTACTTTTGTTACAACGTAGCTGGATCTACTTCTGGCAAGACCTTTGTTCAGAAGAAAGTAATTGCATTATTTCAAGGTTTTGATTTATAGGTGGATGTAGCATGTAAAGAACTGTGATAAATTGCTGACAGAATATCATATAATGGACAGCCCCAGTGAATCAAGCTGCTTATTGGTTCAGCCAGGTTCATTATGTCATTGTTTTAATACTGCCTTTGATAAATGTGTACACCTACCCAGCTGCATGACAATGGTTTCATTTGATTTATGCTTGTGTGTGTGGAGAAAGAATACTTACTGTACAGGTGTGACATCAGTTTGTAAAGAAGACTTAAGATATTTAATGTTCTTTATGCCTTTTTTGCCATACATGTATGCAAACACATTTTATGTAATGTTTATTAATGTTCTGTGATCAATTTTTACATCAATAACGAGGGGAGCTTTGAAAAACTGTCTTGTTAAATTGTGTAACTGCTGTTGCATCGAAGTTTTCCTGCCCTTTTCATGGCAATTGGGATCATCAGAAATTTTAGTCAACTCTTGTGTGAACATTTAAGATGTTTCCCTTCTTAAGACCTCAGTCTGAGATGGGAGTTCAATACTCATATTTTAGAGCAAGAATGCATGCGGAGTGAGTGTGGATTGGTTAAAGGGAGGTTTTTTTCTGTCTCTGTGTATACATACACCCACAAAAATACATGCCTGTCTGCTTAGTTTTTATTAGAAATTAACTACTTGGAAAAAAAAGAATAATTTCTCCAGAAATGTTTATAGCAAATGAGAAGTTGTTTGGTGTGATATTTCAGTGCAGTCTTACCAGAACCAAACGGCTTTAATGGGCTTTGTCAGAGAACCAGAAAGTGAAACTAGGTGCTCGAGTGAAATTGGACGAGCACATGCCAAAAGTAAATTGAATCTTTTTGGCAGGAGACCAGATCTCTTACACTTTTAATTCTGAGGTATATACAGGATTTATTTCCGATGTATTGAGCTATATTAGGTCACTTTTTTAAAGCTCATTCCTACAGTTTGCTCTTGTTAGCAGCTCAGTGTAAGGACAGCTAAAGACAGCTGGATTGCCTTGTTTGTGTATCAGTAACTTGTAATTCATTTGATAGCACAGAGATTTTGACTGAACCTGTTTTCTTTTTCCTTTTTTTAACGTATTTCCAGATTAACAGCATCCCAGGTAATATTTGGAAACAGAATAATTTATGTGCTGAATAATTGAGTGAGAAATTAGACAAATGAAAATGAGAATCTCTGAGCCAGTTTTTGGAGTGCAGTTGGAATTCCAAGCCGTGGTCTCTTTTAATGATGTAAAGCATATTGCTGCTTTCAACTTTACTTACTTTTATCAAAGTATACAAAGCACTGGGGTTTTTTTAATGATTTCTTAGCAATTTATTTCCCTTTATTAACATGAAGCTCAACTTGAAGTATTCTGTTTAAAAAACACATAATTCAGAGAAGAAAATGCGTGATGTGGTATTGTAAGAAAACTGCAGATTCATGCACTGATGGCAGGGAATGCAAACTGAGCATACTAAGCAAAGACGAATTCCAATATCCATGCACTTCCCTATTATTTCATCTGTTTTCCTCTTGCCTTGAAATATCCAATAAATTTAAGAGTTGAAATAATTTTTGAGGAAAACTTGAATGCTACTGATGTCCCTTTTGATTTAAACAAAAATGTTTCTGTACACATGTAGTGTTTAGAACATGGATCATACCAGCAAAAGGGAAAAAATCTCATGTGTGGGAGATGATTTAGATATTATTGAGATCTGGAGACTAGTAACTGAACAAATGTGCTTGGAATTTAGAATTACACAACTGCATATGCATATCGTTATTGCTATATATATTATTATATATGTTGTTATTTGGACTGTCTTGGGCTTGATCTCTCAGTGGTGTGCTAGGGTCCAGAATTAAGGGTGAACTTTTGAAATGCTACATTAATGTGTTCTCACTAACCAGCTGCACACTACCACTGTTTATCCCAAAATTGAGTTATAAATTAAAGGGAATTCTATAACTTATTATCTTCATGCAGAGGTTTTGTTACCGCATATTGCTGCCGTTTTCTTTTGTAGAAAGAACAATGGATATTCAGGCCTAAAAAATGTTAACTATTGTAATTTTTTTAAAGGTCTACACGCTTTCTGTGTCTGGAGATAGACTAATCGTGGGCACTGCAGGTCGGAGAGTGCTGGTGTGGGATTTGAGGAACATGGGTTACGTTCAGCAGCGAAGAGAATCAAGTCTGAAATACCAGACCCGCTGTATCAGAGCGTTTCCCAATAAACAGGTATGGGGAGCATGGCAGTGATCATACTTCTGAATGATTTTTAGGAAAAGTGGTGGTTTGTCTTTCAACTCTTCTGCATCTTTCTTTTGAAACAAATTCTGGTCTTTGTAGGAGGGGAAAACAGATGGTGTTGAGGCTTCTTGTTTGAAGCTGACTCTTTGTAATAGCGCGGTTCAGGAATGTTTATCACTGACTTACCAGCATATTATGGTTTATTTTTTAAATCCTCAATTTTGTGTCCTTTTTTAAAACAACCTATTTAATGCATCACAATGCCAACATGTAATTAAACCCCTCCCCCCCCCAAAAAACCTCCACAAAGTTGCAGTAGAAAAGAGAGGAAGATGGAATTGGTGTTTGCTCAGCAGCCTTTATGTGTTGTAGCCCCAGGTTCTTCAGTAGGCAGGAGAAGGTTTCAAACTATATGAATTTTTTCTTTAACTCTGAGTCTGTCATGCACTCAAGAACCCGTGATCCATTTCCTAGGGGGAATTGTACAATTTAGATGATCATACTGTGTAGGTTAACACAATGTATCTGAGGTATTTCTGAAGTGAAGCAAGATTAGTTTTTCCTGACAAACTAATTTGGAAGGGAATTTTCCTGTGTACAGAGAAATAGTAGAGGAGTTGTAAGACCTAGTTACTTGTTCCTGAACTGGCATAAAGGCTTTGTCCCTTTTCAGCTCTAGTTACAGTAAAACAAGCTGATCGTCCAGATTGTATCGTATTATGGATTTTAAAGAACCTTGCTATAGCTAGATATCACTACAATCCTATTTCTGAAAAGATCTATTACGGGCTTAACTTAAGTTATAATAAAAGCATCTCAGGTTGCTCTTAAGTCAGGACTGTAATTAACTGGATAAGTGAACACCGCTTATAATCAAGTTTCACTGAAAATACTATTTCAACTTGAGTGTTTAGTTGCTAGTGTAAAGCTCTGAACTAATTTTAATGTAATTCTGAAACTAAATAGTCCCGTGAGGATCTCTCGTATTTCAGATATTGAGGCCGTGGGGGATAGGTGGGCAAATACAAGGGTTGTTAACTAACTCTTTAACATTTTCTTCCCCCCAAATCAACTTCGTGTTTGGACCTGAAGGGTAATTAAAAGATCTCGCTGTCAGCTTCAAACTATGGTGCAATGAGAATGTCAGCTGCTTTTTTTCCCTGCGTTTTTTCTCTCTTAGAAGCAGATTTATTGCTGATGCCATTGATCTGTGGTAATAAACAATTTCTGTCTGTTCACAATCAAGACTGTGTTTCATGTATTTGAATGTAGAGGGTATAAGACAAATTGTATTGCAATCCCTTTTCCAGTTGTAAACTTCTAACATGTGTATCCAATTTGTTTTTAGGGTTATGTTTTAAGTTCTATTGAAGGTCGTGTTGCAGTGGAATACTTGGATCCAAGTCCAGAAATCCAGAAGAAGAAATATGCATTCAAATGTCACCGTTTGAAGGAAAATAACATTGAGCAGATTTATCCAGTCAATGCGATTTCTTTCCATAATGTCCACAACACGTTTGCTACAGGTAAAGTAGATACTCAGTGTTTTGTAACAGTTGTATTGGGTCCTTTACTTTTGATTTAAACAGGCCAGCCTTCACTTCATATAATGAACAGAGGGGAGATTGAGATTAAATATCCTGGAGAGGAACTTTTTACAATGGCAAATAGTGATAGGACAAGGGGAATGGCTTGAACCTGCCAGAGGGAAGATTTAGATGAGCTCTTGGGCCGAAGCTCTTCCCTATGAGGGTGCTGAGGTGCTGGCTCAGAGAAGTGCTCAGAGAAGGTGTGGCTGCTCAGAGAAGCTGTGGCTGCCCCATCCCTGGCAGTGTTCAAGGCCAGGTTGGACACAAGGGCTTGGAGCAACCTGCTCTAGTGGAAGGTGTCCCTGCCGGTGGCAGGGGTTGGAACTGGATGAGCTTTAAGGTTCCTTCCAGTGTAGACCATTCCAGGTTTCTCTATACCCTTCCTTTTTAAGCATTTATATTGTATTTCTTGCAATGAACAGGGTTTTTAAATTATTTGATGCTTTGAGAGTCAATTGCTTTAGCAGAGATTTTGAGACATACTTGTGCTCTTTACTGAATTATGTAACTGTATAACCCGGTGTTTTTACTGACGAAGTAATCAGGTCGTTTTCTTTTCCTTCTTTTATTTTTGCTGTATCTTTTCAGTCTTGCCATTCTCCCAGTTAAAATTAACAGTTTTTAAAAACTTCAATTTCAGGAGGCTCTGATGGATTCGTAAATATTTGGGATCCATTTAATAAAAAGCGGCTGTGTCAGTTCCATCGGTATCCCACAAGCATCGCATCACTTGCCTTCAGCAATGATGGAACTACCCTTGCAATAGCTTCTTCATATATGTATGAAATGGATGACATTGAACATCCTGAAGATGGTATCTATATTCGCCAAGTGACAGATGCAGAAACAAAACCAAAGTGAGTATGCTTCACCTGTATTTGAGACTTTCTGAGCATTCATCCCAAGATTTATTAATTTTCCTAAATTCATGAATAGCATTATTGATGCCAGGAGATAGTGCAGCTTGACAGTAGGGTTGGTTTTGATTTTATCTTGTTCGCCCAAGCTTTCAATATCCGTAGGTTGATAGACGGCTGATGGATAAAATTGTGCCTAGTTGTTTAGCAGGAGAAGAATGTCAAACTCTTATCCTTTTTGAATAGGTGCTATTATATGAAGCTGGGGAGTTATTGCTAACTCATTGCTGCAAGAATTAAGGGAAGAATTCAAGAATAATTTATTTGAGTAAATGTTACTGTGTTTGGAGATTTAAAACTTAGAATTAACGCGATCTTTACACATGAGCATGCACCCAGCTCTCGCAGTCTGAAGCAAATCTAGATACTGTTCTAGGAAGGTTGTATAAAATCAAGGAGAAGCTTTTTCAGTTCCCTTGTATTGGAGTTTGCTGTGGCCCTTTCATAACATACTTTTCTATCACTGTTGCTGTCAGAATGGGGCAAAGTGATTGATGGAGGTAGAAGATTTCTGTGGAGCTTGCTTTGGCATGAATGTTACATTGAAGAATTGCCCTCACGGTGCAGAATTGCACTACTTTTAATTATGCTAGAACAAGAGCAGGTTTTGTTTTCAAATTCAGTGTGGTTTGTCAGTGCTGTTTCTTTTTATTTCTAGTACTCAAACTGTCTTACACTTTATCTGGTCATCTCCATTATTTAGTATCTAAATGGCTACATAAATAGACACATACACGATAAAAGTTCTTGATTTTTAAAACCTCAAGGCCTTCCCTCTTTCCTTAAAGTGTGTTGCTTCAGAGCAGCCATTTCATGGCTGTGGAGATGTAAGGTGGAAGTTACAGAAGAATAAATCCACCATTTCTCACTTGGGAGATGTTTGTTTTACACTAATTTTGGTACTGATGGAAAAATAAACCAGAACTAACTCAATATTTATTTCTGGGGCTTCCACAAGTAATAAAAAGTAATCCAAAGCTGATAATTGAAATTTCCTTTTAAAAATCAGATTGTGCTTATTACTTTTGAGAGGGTTTAAAAAAACCCAGGTGATAAAAGAATACTTGCTGCTACTTGTAGTAGTGAGAGCTGCTTTTAGTTATTTTTCTTCATTGCTAGTTATGGTTGCTAATTCTGTAGATGCTTCATTCTGCCCTAGGAGGAGGTTAATCTACAATTAAACAATATTTCCTCTCGGCCCTCCATTATTTTCTGAAACAGATGGTTCATCATTTCCTGGGCTGTTAAACACAGCAAGGTTAAGGTTAGACTCTTGGGAATCAGCTAGTTTTGAATCTTATTAGGCTGTAGAAGAAAAACTAATAAGAATACTCCTTAATATCATTTTGGGGCTGTAAGCAATTATTTATTAGCAAACAATTGATCCCAGAAGGGCAAATTGTTTGAGTCAGTAATGAGCTGAGAAAAGACAGAGCATATCTGTGTATTTGGAAAATAATTGTAACGTAATTGCAATGCATTTAGACAGGCATCTTTTTGGACCTGTTTCTATCTTTAAATGAATTTCTGAAAACATTAACAAGGTTTATATGCTTTTCTGACATGTACAAGTTGCGTGTGCCAACCGTGGGGCACTAAGAATGATGTGTATATTTTAGTGTTACAGTACATTATTAATGTTACGTCTCTGGTTTATTCTAAATGTAAGTTACTTAAGACAGAAGACTAATAGTTATTTCATAGTGATTTCTTTTGCTTATTAATTTGAATCAGCATTTCTGCACAGTGCTTTCTTAAATGCATGAAAACAATGCTGTATTATATGAAGAAAACTTGGCGAGATCAGATTTTTCATCACTAAATTACTATCTATAGTATCTTGATAGAAGTGAAAGCAGTCTTTCTACACATCTCTGCTTTTATAGAATGTTGAATGTTTTACCTGCTTTCTATTACTTTAAATATCATTTGCTGAAATACAGTCTATTTATTTCAGGTCTACTTAGAGGTCTGCTTAGACTTCTGGTGATACTTCTCTACAAGAGGTCCCCACCTGCTTCTAACAAGGCTAAACTAAAACGATGGAAGTGAGAAGAACAATCTTTGTACTGATGCTGTTTTTAACTAAGAAATGTTTGTTTGTATATTGTAGCATGTGTTAATCTGTCATTACTTGCTTATAATGTTAGTGAAACTGTTTTATTTGCTGTCTGTAGCTACATTAGTTCAGTTCTGCAGGCAACCTTTATAAAAACTTACCGCATTTTGTAGTATCTAATTATGAAATATTTCCAGTGATGATCTAACTGTTCAATAAATAAATATCCGTAGTTTTTTGGAAAACAAAGACTTTGTGTAACAACCTTTACTGATTGTGAAACAAACGTTAAGACAACACTGAAGTTGCAAGAATTCTTGAGTTCTAGATTTTCCTGATGGAAAATTTCTCAACCTTTTGTCTTTTTCCAATGAGGTAAACTGGGAAAATTTCTTCATCTCATGGGGATGCTGGGTCTCCAGGCAATCTTTTCACAGGGCTGTGAAAGCCTGAAGTTGTATCAGGTGGGCTTGTTTATTGTTACTGGAGAATCATTAACTCTCCCTGGAGGAAAGAACTTGGACATGTAGTACTTTGGTTCTGTGTGGTTTTTATATACTGCATAAAAGCCTAAAGTTAATGGTGCTTGGGAAGAACTGAGGATAGAGGGGAACAAATGTAGAATTTTGGCCTACAGCTGAGTGGTCTGTTCCAGGTCTGCAGATCTGACCTGGTAGCCCAAGGTTTATGGAGTAACACAAGTAGAAAGGTAGAAAAGAGGAGTTTTCGCAGAGTGGAAATGTCATTCTGGCCATAAAACCTCATGAAAATACACTGCTTCTTTGTTTGCCTTATTGCCAGCTGGTAAGAAGTGTAACCTGTTGTCAAGCTTCTTGAGGATTTTGGAGTGGGCTGGGAGAAGGTGCTTCAACTTGGACAAATTTCTCTGGAAAGTATACTAGAAAAACAACTTGGACACTGTTTGGTCTTTTCTAAATAGGAAAGTAGATCTGATCAAGAGACTAAAGCTGCAAATCCATCCTCTGCTAAAAGAATAAATTCAGTGTGTGGGTTCCTGACTGGTTTATGGAAATAAAGACAAATGCTTTCTGATCGGTACCATCAATAAAAACTATCTCCTCCAACTCTGCAGAACAGGCTGCATTAATAGTAGCTTGTATCAGGTGTTTGGGAAGTACTTTGTACTTAAGTGTTTGCTTTGCAGTGAATTGTAAGGAGGGACAGAACAAAACTCCTATGAGACTCATCAAAGATGATTAAGATATGGGTATTTTGGAGTGGTGATTGGATTCATACTTCCAGCTTCTGTTCTAAGTTATCGGTGCCTCTGTAGCCAGTGGGTGTACTTTATTACCTTTAAGAAAACAAACTTGCTGACAACAGGAATAGTAACCGATCGTTCCAGAGGAGGTGGTGATGGAGAGGGAGCTGGGCTCTCTGCAGAAAGCTAACAACCTGGACCTCTTACCAGGTAGACATAGTAAATGGGTTGTGTGTGGAATATGTTATAGTTTGGTATGTGCTAGATATGGATTCTTTGACCATATAAACTGGTTTTGATAGGTTTGATGAATTATATACAAATAATGTCTTCGCTATAGTAGCAGCCTCTCTTCTGACAGATGTGCAGCACCCTATTTCTTCCAATTTTAATTGACTTCTTTGTATTGAGCGTACATGACTCTGCTGTTGGGCAAAGGTTGAAATTTTTTTGTCAGCTGAGGAAGTGATCACACCCTGGTGTTTATTTTTCTTATTACTTCTGTTTGTTTGAGGAATGCATTGATACAGAGGGTCTGGGGACTAGCAACGGGATCCAAAGATTTCTGCAAGAATGAGTAGCAAAGAAGTAGTAAGCTAAATCCCTAGTTTGAGGGATAACTGTAGGCTGAAACAGTAGACTTTGTGTTAAGAATGCTGTCAAGTGTTCCAGGATCTCATACCACAATGTGTGTAGATATAAATACATGTATTTGCAGAGCAAACACACAAAGTACCTGTTGTTTCTCTATTTCCTCACAGCTTAGAGTGTATAATATTACCAAATACAGGATTGAGCCCACAAATAAATTGTTGTTACCTGAAAGCACAATAATGACCTTTGCTTGTGGAGAAGAGAGACCTGAAGTGAGGATGGGTCCAAATAATGTGGGAAGGCAGAAATAGGTTGAGACTGATGAAAAGTTACTGATGATGTGGAGAAATGTGAAACGGAGAGAGGAGAAGTGGGGAGTCTGCAGGGGTAGAACTGTGGGGAACAAAGTGAAATAAGAGCTAGGTAACATCCAGGGAAACAAAGAGTTGGGGGAATTCCAAATAATTTGCTTAACAAAGTAGACCCATAACATCACCTGGACCTGATGCCACCTGTGAACTTGTCACTGGTAAGTATCAGGGGAAAAGCAACTGTTTAATACTTGACATACTTAGCTTAAAAATGATAGGAAAATTCCTTGTGGTGTGTTGGTGTTTTATGTAAATGCTTAAAACAAATGAAGAGTCTGTAGAAAATGAGAGACAACTGGGCATAACGGAGAAAAGGAGATGTATTAGTTGGTCAGAGCTCCAGCTGTGTCCCTATGTTAGGTATGAGCATGTGCAGTTGGAATATTGGTATTTCTTTTGCAAGATTAATCTTTTATTAGCTCTCTTCTAGAAATGCAGGTCAAGGCAGAGGTTCATAAGCTGGAGAAATCATGAAACAAGCCTTTTCTGACCTATATAACAAGCAGCTGAACAAAGAGTATATACTGACTCTTGATCAGGGGAATTGAGACCTAAAAAAGCTCCTTAAGTCATTGCTTTTTGGATGGTGTTGAGGGCCATACAGAAAACATGGAGTCATAGCTGTCACTCTAATAGAGTCATCAATCACCGTTCACTGCTTGCAGGAAAAAATACCATGGGTTGTCTCTCACAAGAGC